TTGTAAAAATAGTACAGAGTCCCATGTGTTCTTCACCCACCTTCCCCCCATGGTAACTTTTTATATAATTATAGTACAGTATCAAGACCAAGAAATAGAAATGGTACAACATTAGCTAGACTTCAGACCTTGTTCATTTTTTGCACGGTGTGTGTGTGTGTGTGTGTGATACTACGCAGTTTTATCTCATGTTGAGATTCCTGTAACCACCACCACAATCGAGATACAGATTGTTCATCACCACAAAGGAGCCCCTCGTGCTACCCCTTTATAGTTGTATATATACAACTTGTTCCCTTCCACCTGTCACCTGGCAATCTGTTCTCCACCTCTATCGTTTTGTCATTTCAAGGATGTTATTTATGTGTTTGCTTTTAATTGAGTGTGAATGCTTTTAGAGGGCATTCTTCCATTTACCTTAAGGTCTCACCATTGTCTGCTTTTCTCCACCTGACAGTGTTCAGACATTTAGATTGCCTACATGGTACTTATTGGCATTTGAGGTTGCTACCCCTGCCCAGTTGTTAATTAGACCCTGGTTTCTCAGTGAACACCTGGTTACCTCCCCTTTCCTGGGCTGGCAGCTGTGGCTTCTGACGCCCTCCTCTCCCCACTTATCCTCTAGATGCAGGCCCTGACTTCCTGTGAGTGCACCATCTGTCCTGACTGCTTCCGCCAGCACTTCACCATCGCTTTGAAGGAGAAGCACATCACAGACATGGTGTGCCCCGCCTGTGGCCGCCCTGACCTCACTGATGACACGCAGTTGCTCAGCTACTTCTCCACTCTTGATATTCAGGTACTACAGTCTCTGAGACTCAGGGTGCCCTGGACTTTGAATAGGAACCCAGCCTGCCCACCACTTCTGTATTTTGTCCCCAGCTTCGAGAGAGCCTAGAGCCAGATGCCTACGCCCTATTCCACAAGAAGCTGACTGAGGGTGTACTCATGCGGGACCCCAAGTTCTTGTGGTGTGCCCAAGTAAGTGCTCTGCCCAGAGGAGCTTACTGGAGGCCCAGGGAGCAGTGCCGGGTCAGGCCTCAGATAGCTTTATGTTCTTGTACCCACAGTGCTCCTTTGGCTTCATATATGAACGTGAGCAGCTGGAGGCAACATGTCCCCAGTGTCACCAGACCTTCTGTGTGCGCTGTAAGCGCCAGGTGAGGTACATCCATCCTTCCAGAAATACTTGCTGAGCTGCTGGCAGGTACTGTGTTAGACTCAGGGTGTGCTGGAGAACAAAACAGACATGAGCTCCGGACTCTTGAGTGTTTACAGACTAGTCAGGGAGGGAGGGAGGGAGGATGAGAGAGGAAGGAAGGATGAGGGGGAGAGGGAGGGAGGAAGGAAGGCTGATGGGGGAGGAAGAATGAAGAAGGGAGGAGGGGTGAAATATAAGGTAAAGGAGGGTAGGGGTGAAAGAGGAAGAGAAAGGAGGAAAGGAAGCGAGAGAGGGAGAGAGTGAGCATAATTATACACGGGCATAAGTTCTATGAAAAAAACAAATAGGAATCCGAGATTAGGAATAATGCAATCGACCTGCTTAGGACAGAGAGGTCAGACAAGTGTTTTCTCAAATCGCTTTAGCTCAGGCCTAAAAGTTAAGTCAACTATGCAAATAGTATTCGGGACAGAAAGCATAACACATGGAAAGGCCAAAGTCAGAAAAAAGTGTTGTATAGCTAGAGCCTCAGGAGCAAAGGTAAGAATAGCAGGTGGTTGGAGAGGAGCTAGCTGCCAGATCAGGAGAGGCCTTGAGGCCAAGTGAAGAAGATACTTGCCTTTTATTCTAAGACAAAGCAAGGAGTAATACGATCTCATTTACCTTTTAAAAAGTTCAATATTTGATACCAAACTTCAAACCTAGAACACTCCCAATCC